CAGGCTTACCTGAGCAGTCTTCCAGCAACTTGTTTCTGAGATCGGGCCTGTCTATCGGCGGCAGTCATCCGCCCACACCTGCTCCTCCTTACTTCTTACTCCCTGCGTCGATCATGGATTTGGGCGGGTGGTGAGCGTGAGGCGGGGAAGAGGTGTGGCGTGTGGAGCGTGGATGCGGGTGGGCGGATCTGGCAGCGGCAAACGTGAGGTGGGGAGGAGGTGAGGCGCGCAGCTGTGTGGAGCCGTGAACAGGGCCAACCAATCGGAAGCCGATTAATCGATGATTGAAAAAGTTGACAACTTTTTCGATAATCGATTATGTCGATTAGTTGTTGCAGCATGACAGATTATTCAACCCTTCCCCATTCTATCCAAAAACAATTTGCCTATAGATATCATTTAAACATTTCATTGCCCGAGCCATTTTTTGCATACATGAAAATGATAATTGTTTACAGTTCCCCAAAAGGATATATTTTCTAATAGCAGAGACCATGGAAAATAAAATGGTGACAGTAAATAGATATCAAACATGTCAAGCCTCAAAATTGTGAGTGCTCTGACTAACCTGCTTATTTCATTACCTAATTTACACTGAACGTTCGAGATATTCGTCCATCTCAGGGTACAAACTGAATTTAATTAAAACTGAAGTGATGCCGATTAATGTCCCCAGGCTACGTTCTCCTCAAATCTTCCTTCGATTATAATTGGACATTTGACACACTTAAGTATCTGGTAGTCTACCTTACCCCTTGGGTGTCCTCCCTTTATAGGGTGAACTTTATTCCTCTGTACAGGGAGCCCAGAGACTACCTTCAGAGATGGGGGTCCTACCGCTTATAAAATGGCACATTGACATTCATTAAAATGACAATTTTGCCGAAATTGCTCTACTATTTTGAAACATTGCCCTGTAAAAAATCCTATGCCCAATTTCAAAGCTCTGCAACGCTCTCTTCTCAAATTTACCTGGGATAATTTCAATCATAGGGTCCCTAGGTTTGCGTTAGTGGCCTCCAGATCACGGGGTGGTCTGGGCTTCCTGGATATCTTTAAATATTATTTGGCTGCTCATTTACGTCACCTGGCATCCCGGTCCTCTCTCTACCCCCCTAACAGCTGGGCGGAAATAGAAAGCCTCTGGATTACCCCATTACATCTTAACTCCCCCCACCTCAGGCCTACCCCACTATCTTCGCTGACTGCTCCTTTTATCTTCCATGAAACATACTAAAGACATTTGGCGTTTTGCTAGGCTTAAATTTAAATCCGACTTCCCCCACTTCTCCTATGCGATCATTCCTATATACCCCCCTTTTACCTGCCACGCTTGGCCATCCCACTGCTTGCCCTTGGTTTGATCATTCCCTCTTTCCTTTCAAGGATATCATACACAAGGTTGATAGGACCCTGTTCTCTTTCCCTGACCTACGCAATCGATTTGAACTTCCATCGAAATCTCTTTTTGCATTCCTTCAGATCAAACATTTCGCATACTTGGTCTCCACCGCTCTTGTTTTTACCCCATTTGAAAGACTTTGTTTAGATGGTCCTGCCCGCAAAGCGTGGTATTTCTGACATATACAGGCTGCATAACTCAATACCCACTCACCCCTTTCCTATACATAAATACATGTTTAAATGGGATACGGCTTTGGGTAGGACATTGGACATGGAGGCGATTTGGACTAATGCTAACAAGACATCTATTTGCACTCTCTATAGGGAAAATCAGTAAAAAAAATCCTGTATCACTGGTATCGCACCCCGGACCTTTTACACCACATGAATTCTTTGTTGCCATCAGTGTGTTGGCACTGTACAAAATACAAAGGCAGTCCACTACATATCTTCTGGGAATGTCCCAAGATACATCCCTTTTGGGAACGTGTAATGTCCTTGCTTAAATGTTTGGTCGATATGACTGTACCAGAAGACCTTGTACATTTGCTTTTGGGACTCCCCAACGCATATGTATCCACGACTTGTACTCAGCTTATTTATCATTTCCTCAGAGCAGCCAGATGCCTCATAGCTTTAAAATGGTGGCAACTTACCCCTCCGTCTCACGTGGATTTGCTTCGAAGGATTTATGATATCCACAACTTGGAATATCTTACAGCTCGATTACACAATTCCGTTTAAAAAAATTTGAACGGGTGTGGTCCCCTTGGCGACTCCTGGACTGGTCCGATGGCACTTCCTCTGGCTTGATGTGAGTTCAATGTTTGGAAACTTCTCCTCCCTTCCATGATAATGAGGAACAGACTTTACTTGTCTATGTTTCCATCTCTTATGGGCTCATTGCCTCTCGTAGGTTCCCTTTTCACCCTCATGCTGTTTGAGGCTTTCTCTTTGTTCTGGATACTAACTTTAATACTTTGAGGTTATAACAGTTTTATTTATGCATACTAGATATTTCAATTGATAGCTGTAAAGTTATCTTTCTTGATTGCTCATCAGTACGTTGTTTCTTTAGATGCCTTTTTAACTGACAATGTGTGCCTTTGTTTTTCATGTTAAATTTCCAATAAAAAGTCATTTATACAAAAATTGAGTGTGCCCCCGTAAATCACTCAAAAAGTTTGGTACCCAAAATTGTCCATAGGCGATGCTTTTGAAAGCCTGTATAGGCCACAAAATTTACTTAGTTAACTGTGAATAATGTGATTAATGACATGGCGCCTGGCTTCCTAATTGCCCCGGAAGCCGGCTCCATGTTGTTTGGCCGGCTTGATTGTGATTAACCGGGAAACCGGTTTCCCAGCCAATTAGTATAGAGCCGGCTTCCCGGCCAATCAGGAAGATGGGCGGCGAGTAATGACCCGCCTCCCTGGTTGGCCGGGAAGCCGGCTCCAGCCAATCAGGAAGGAGCCGGCTGTTCGGTTGGCTCGATGCTGATTGGCCAGGAAGCCAGCTTCCCAGCCAATCAGCATAGAGTCTGCTTCCCAACCAATCAGGAAGCTGGGCGGCGGGCTCCATGTTCCCCTACGGCACTGCCTGTCAGAAGAAATCTTCTTCTGACCAGAAGTTTCGGTATCGGGTAAGGTATCGGAGCATTTGGGCAAGTACGAGTACTCGCCCAAATACTCGGTATCGATGCATCCCTACTTTAAACAATGTCTATGCATACAACACTTACACCATACACCAGGGTGGCACTACTCCCTCCTCCACTGGCGACACTATAAGCGCCCATTCACACATGTGTTTCCTAAAGCATGACAATGCTCACCATGAAGAATCTCATTATTTTCTATGGTGCTTGTTCACTGAAAGTACGTGAGCTCCTTTTTGGACAGAATCGTGCATTTTTGACCCCACAGACTGCAAAATACCTGAAAAACGTGGGGTAATGTGCTTTACTTAACAACTATCTCCTCATCCTGGTAACTACCTAAAACAAAAAAGGCTCAAGTCTAAAAAAAAAAATAAAGGGCTTCGAAATTGCCTGAAAACGCTCACGCTCAAGTTTTAATGGGGACTGAAGGGTTGGGATTAGACATGAGGCTGGGCTTAGTGCAAACCCATTTCACCCGAGTTCATTCAATCCCACTCAAAACTCTAATCACCAGCCCATTTTCCTGATCCAGTCAGTGGTGGCAGTTCCACAGGAGAGGGGTCCATTTCCTGCTCCCTTGTGATGTATAGCTGCGTAGCAGGCTATGCAGAGACATTGGTCAGAGTTTTGAGCAGGCCTGGGCGAACTGGTTTCACAACAAGCCCAGCCTTAAAAGGAGAACTATGGTGTTAAGGCTTTTCCCCATAGTTCTCCTTAGGGTAACGGGAGGACAAACTAGCGTCCTCCCGTCACCCTTGGCTCAGTATACCGCGAGCTGTAGCTCGCGGTATACTGAGACGCCGCACCTGGAGCGGATCCCGACGTAGATGACGGGATCCGCCCAGCTGCGTGACTGACAACTGGCTCTGCCTATCTAGAGGCAGAGCCAGCTGTACCCGCCCCCTCCCCCGTCCCGCCAGTCAGCGCTGGCGGATCGGAGCAGGGAGTCCAGCCCCTCCCGTCACGGCAGAGAGTGAACGCCGGTATGTGTTCGCTCACCTCCCGATCTACTGAGCCGACCTGTGACAGTCTCATTGTCACGGGCCGGCTAGAGCTATGAGGTGAGTGAAAAGCACTCCGCTCATAGTTCTCCTTTAAGTCTTTTAAGGATGTGCATGGGTTTGGTACAAACGGAGTTTGCTCAAGCTTGTGCAAAACTGTCAGAGACATATCCCCCACCTTCCAGCCCAGCCAGTTGCGGCTGGTGCATTCCCCACCCTACAGCTACCATAAGAAAGGGGCAGGGAATACCCTGACTACAACTGAATGTAGTGACAGTTTAGCACAGGCTTAGGTGAACTGGGTTTGCACTAAACCCATGAACATACATACTGTAGAGTAACAAACAATCAATATTCCCTTTTGTTTTTAATATCCTAGGCAAACTCACCCAAAATATTCCTCCCATAGCCACATTTGGTAATAGAATATATTGAGGGGGGATTTATCAAATCTGGAGCAGTTGTCCATGGCAACCAATCAGCTTCTCTCTTTCATTTTTAAAGCTTAACTGAATAAACTGAAAAGAGAAGCTGATTGGATGCCATGAACAAATGCTCCAGTTTTGATCAATTCCCTGCCATTGTGTATATGTAATGTATATATACTGTGCTGTTTACCCCTCTGTTATTACATCGCCCACATCACTGCCATTTGTCAAGCTGTGCAAATAAATGTGAAGTGACTCCTCAAAGCACCTGTAATAATAAATGTAGCAGTGACTGCAGAATGTCCCCCCCTGACTACAGTACAATATTAAAAAGTTATACAGACAGACAAACGCTCCTATACTGTAAAGTTTTGGGTGTAGGCGTCAGTACACTGACTATATCCCGTATTTTAGAACTAATACCTGAAACGACAAGAGTTTCTCTACTTTTCCCCCATACCCAGTTCTGTATGTCAACGCGAATAACTTTAAAATAACCCCCCTCACCTTATCCCCGGAGTGTCAGCGACTTTCACCGGGGGAAAAAGCAACACACAACACTAGGACACCGCCCCACCAGAACCCTCCCTAGGCGCATACTGGTTGGCCACGATCGTTCTATCCTCACCGCTGATTGGCTACGTCCACTTTTGCGCAGCTTTGGATTGGCTCACAACACTTCCGTCATGTTTCTGATAGGCTTCCTTCCTGGGCACAGATTGCAACACGTCTTACTAGAGAACGCCTATGACTAATACGAATGTGGGGTTTCCTCCTTAGCGAGGGCTAGCATATGAGCGACCATTTCTTCGTAGCTCAAGCGTAATAGACTGGTGAGACAATGGCGCCTAGAAAAGGACGGCTGAACTGGAGACACAAATGAGCCAGTTTAGCTCATTGTAACCCTGTTAGGTTCACGTGTTGTCACGTTATGAGGCGTCTGCTGCAGCAAAATTGTGCAAAAGAATTTCAGCTGACGTGCTGGGACTTTTTCTCAGAAATGTGAGGAATTCCGTCCCTGCTTCTTTCTTTTTTTTTTGATCAAGTGAGCTGTTTTAAATGTTCTTTTAATTGTGTACTTTTGGCTTAGCTTTCGTTTCTAAAAGTTAATGTGTCAGTAGTTGCAAAACACAAATTTCATGTATGCTTTAGTGTGCCATTTTAAAGTCTATCTAAACCCAAAACAGAAATGTAATTTGCTGAAACATATCAATAATTAGAGTGACACTAAACTCAGGAGTACCCTAAGCCCTCGTTCACACCTGAATGTTTTGTAGCGCGTTCTACGCTCGACGAACGCTCTACAAAACGCTCAAAAATATGCCATTGTATTCAATGATCTGGTTCCCACCTTGGCGTATTTCCGCCCATCCCTAACGCGCTACAAAACGGCCCACGGCTGAAAAGGTGCATGTACTACTTTGGGCCGTTTTGTTGTGCGTTTCCATTGGGATACAGCCAAGTAACCCTCGGAAACGCGCGTGTCGCGCGATTTTTTTACCGCGAATCGCGGTTAAAAAAACGTGCGACAGACGCGCATATGGAATACGCCTAGGTGTGAACCAGGCCTTACTATAAAGCCTCGTTCACACCAGACACAGTGCGTTCTGGCTAAGGTTGCCACCTGTCCCGGATTCAGCTGGACAGTCCGGGTTTTGAGTCTTGTATGTGCTGTGCTTGGGTTTCAGCTGGATTGAAACTAGGGTTGCCACCCGTACGGGTTTCACCCGTACAACCCGGGTTTGGAATCATGTGCCCGGGTCTGTGGCCACCTCCCGCCCGGGCACATGATTCAAACATTACAATGCCGCATACCTGCATTTCTTGCGGCAGGCGGAGGACGGCGGACACCAGGTGGCGCTGTCTCCTGTTCCTCGACTCTCCCTCCTCTGTTTCTTCCGCGGCTGTAGTGGGAGGAAGTGACATCAGCGAGAGAGGGAGCCGTGAGGGACGAATCTTTCTCCGGCAGCCAGCCAGCAGGGGTGGAGAGCAGCGCTTTCGTCTGGCAGACGAGTTTGGGGCCGCACTTCGCATATGAATGTCATTTCTGAGCCTGATGAAGGGGACCCGGCGCGGCCCAGAAAGTGCTTGTCTTAGGAATGACAACTACCAATCAAATGGATTTTGCAGTAACATGGGATCTTGGTGCCGGTGTGCTGGAGACATCTGTATTGTTGTTCTGTTGTGAGCAGCGCCATCCGCAGTCATTACCGGCACCCGTTACTTTTGGCATATCTGGTAAGAACTGCGGCAAGGTATATGGGTACTGCTTTGTACACTTATCTACAGAATGCATATCTGGGAACCTGTGGCATACTGGTAAGTTGTGATTAACTCAAATGTCATTTATTTACAAAATACATGCATAGTGTATACTTTACAAACAAATTGCCGTGAAGCGCTATAGTGTTCGGGTTTGGCCTGAAGAAAAGGTGGCAACCCTAATTGAAACCCAGACACGGAACATAGAGGACTAAAAACCCAGACTTTCCAGCTGAATCCAGGACAGGTGGCAACCCTATTTTTGTCCGGAACTCATTGCATCACATTTTGTCCGGCTCACTATGTTATGGGGTAGGAGGGGGCCCTACGGCCACATGAGAATGCAAGGCGCATCAATACCTGCGGTGTGGACTGGTCCAAACAAAATAGTGCTTGCAGCATTTTGTTCGGACCGAACCACAGACATTGATGTGCCTTGCGTTCCTGTGCGGCCAAAGGGTGTGGCTACGGTGCCATTCACTTCAATAGACCGCCACCCCCTCTCCTGCCCCAGAACTTCGTGAGCCAGCTGCAATGCGATGCAGTGCGTCCTGGCCAGAATCGGGGCGGAACGCACTGTGTCAGGTGTGAACGAGGCCGTAACAAAAATGTATCTTATGTGTGTATCCCTCGGCTGTAGATCCTCAAATTATCTCTGAAATGGTGCCAACACTGTCCTTCCTTCTGGAGGGTGGCTACTTTTGTTCCCCATGGTCCCTGAGTGTACTGTAAAGTAGTTACCGCTCCAAGCTCGCTCTGTGATGGACTAAAATCTCACATTTAGTTTACTAATTTGTATTGAGATTGTAGTTCATCACAGGAGTGAGCTTTGAGAGGTGGCTACTTTATAACACACACAGGGACCATGGGGAACAGAAGTAGCCATCCTCCAGAAGGAAGGACAGTGTCGGCACCAATTCAGAGATGATTTGAGGATCTACAGCCGAGTGATACACAAATAAGATACATTTTTGTTAATAGTTAAGGTACTTGAAAGCATATTTACGATTTTACTCCTGAGTCTAGAGTCATTTTAAATCTAGCTCCGGGCAAACAAAAAACCCTCCCCTTTGCAGTGGGGCTATCCCTCGGTCAACTGCTGGTTTATGCCTAGGGGACGAAAGCAAGGAACTTTTAGTAGAGGTGGCCATACACTGTATGAATTTCGGCTGGTTCTTGATGAACTGGCTAAAATTCGGTCATTGGGTGGCCCTTCAATCAGAAAATCAGAGGAGGCGGACGGAAAGCTTTTCCATTAACAGTGCGGCAGCCAATCTGCTGTTGTCATTGTTGAGGTATTCTGACAGCTGCACACTGTCTGAATGTCTGCCTGACAGCTGCTGTCAGAATACAACATACACAGTGGGAGATTCATCCATCCATGGTGTTAAGCTTTGGTTTCATCCTCTAACCCAAGGGTGTCAAACTCAATTTAATCGTGGGCCGCATCAACATCAAAGGGCCTGTAAGACTATATAAATGTATCTAATCTTTATCATAATTGCCTCTGCATTCGATTATCACTGGTTTTAGTAATAACTTAATACCTAGATCTGAAAGTAGAAGTCCAGGAAATGGCCTGTTCGGCCCCTGGGCCTTGAGTTTGACACATGTGCTCTAACCCCTATGTCACTGCCGAATCCTGTAGCGATGTAAGAGGTTGGAGGATGAAACCACAGCACGCAGAGTGAAATACAGGTATTGGACACTCATGGAAGTTGTGCATAGGTTGCTGAGCTGGAATGCGGGGAAGATGGGAGAAACAGGCGCTAAAATGGTGGGTATAAAAACTTGATTTTTCTGTCAATTGACAGGGTCGCAATAAAACATATCCACCTAAAACCAAAAATGTAATATATTGCGGCTTATCCATCCATAGATGAGGTGGCTGCATTAGTTTTCTTTTTTTCTGGATTTCCCCCCCTTAATTTTTGCATGGTTCTCCTATGAATAACACACTTCCTGTCCCTGGATAGCTATACTCACTCCTTCACTGTACCTATGGAAGGAGCTATAGCTGTCACCTAGGCTGGACTTCATACATGTCTGTCTTTGTGCTTCTTCATTACATGGGGGATGGTAAGATTAATAGTTTACAGAAGGAAGATAATATTGTTTAATGCTTCCAAGTTATCTCACAGAAAGTATATTTTCTGTACTTGCTGAAAATGTTCTTAGCCTAAAAAAAGAAAACGAATGCAAGCACCACATCTAAGGAGTAGTAATCTGCTGTATATTCAATTTTCTTTCTGGCGTTTAGTTATAATTTAAGTAAGTTTGGGAAACATTCTAGGATCCCTTAACCCCTTCATGACTGAGCTAGTTTTTAGTTTCTGTTCCTAAATGACTGACACACTTTTTACATTTTTGCTGTGTGATCCTTCCACAGCAGCAAGTTTTGATTATTATTATTTTTAGAATTTTTTTAATAATAATTATAGTATACAAATATATTTACATATAAAAGTTTTATTTTCCTAATTTTTTGTACACTTTTTTTTTTTTTTTACACTTTGTAAAAAAAATAAGTGTAAAAAAAAAAAATTTTTTTTTGTCAGTTTATATCAAGCAATCACTATGACTGCTTAATAAATTAACTTTTTAAAATTTTTAGTTATTATCAGGCTGCTCCAAGCTTAGGAACAGCTAATAATAACTTTAGAGACTGATCCTGACAGCATGTCAGAATCAGATCTCACTAAAGGTCTTTGATCGTTCCTAGACGATCAAAACTGATACATTTCACTCAAGAGATACATTTTGTATCTAGTGGTTGAAATGTATCATTTAACATCGGGCCAGGCTCTCCAGCTGTCAAAACGAATAGCAGAGAGGTGAGTCACTGCTACCTCTCTGCTATCTTCAGCTGTCAGATACGGGATCGCTATTTAGCGAACCCGTATCTGAATGTAAAGGCTTCATTCTTTCATTAATGAAAGAAAGAAGCTTTTAAAAAAGCTTAACTATTTCATTAATGAATGTCTCAATAGTGAGGCATTAATTAATGACTGGAACTGCTGAGAATCAGCAGTTACCAGCATTACAGAGGCTAATATAACTCGGCACGTACAGTGTACGTGGCCAGTCATATAGCCACTTTGTGACGGGACGTACACTGTACGTCTCCCGTCACGAAGGGGTTAAAGCCATAGGCCAAATCTGTACCCCAGGGGCCAAATATGGCCCTCAAGGCCCCCATAGAGGGTAGTCTGTGATTTTGGTGCTTTCTGAAGCCAGTGACTGTCTTCTACTAGTTTTTCTATGCTGTATCCCTTTTCTGTTTTTTTCCACTCTGACTTAGTGTGGCACAAGTCATTTTTCAGCTG